AATAATAATAATAATAATAATAATAATATAATAATAATAATAATAAATAGTCACGGTAATATTAGACTAAAATCTAGTGGTAATAATACTAGGTTTCATTGAAGGAAATTATTTTTAAGAAGCGAAGCGTTGTCTGAGTTCGGAATCACCACCTTAAAAAGTGAGTGCATAGTTTCTTTCATCTTACACATAGATATGAAGTATTTAATATAAATTACATGCTATGTGTGCATATTGTCTGTATACTTGCCGTCTATGCTGGGTGAAAGATTTTTATACATGTTTTAAATGATTTAAAATGTATATGTATTTTATATCTACAAAATGTGTTGGGTAAAACATGGGTAGATGAAATAGTTGCTGTGTGACAAAAAAATAAAATGATGAGAGGTGATATAGACCATGAGATAAGGGTGAGAGGTGAACAATGAGAGAAGCCTTTTACCCAAGTGTTGGCCACGTCATCTAGCAGAGTATGGATGACAACCACAGACTATTCTAGACAGTCCAGTGGAACACTAGCAGGCTCGCAACCTGTAGGTGTTATTTGAACTATGTATTCACCAGTTGTACTCTAAAAACCCATTGACATGTATTGCGAGTGGATTCTCGGAAATGATACTGTCGATAAACGAGATAAAAACCATTGACATGTATTGTGAGTGGATTCTCGGAAACGATACTGTCAATAAACGAGATAACCCTGGCAGATGCGCCTAAAGGACTCTACCGGCAGATGCGCCTAATAGAGAACCCCAAAACCCCGGTAGATGCGCCTAAAGGACAATACCGACAGATGCGCCTCATAAGGAATGTCACAATTTTGGTAGCTGCGCCTAAGTGATAATATTAGTAGCTGTGCTTGACAGATGTGTCATTAGCAACGATGGATTTCGTGCCTATTCCTTAGGATAATTCTGAGGAATGAATGAACGAGGAATAACTGTTTCTTAGGGTAGATCCTTAAGAGTAAGGGAGATAATGGGGATGGGTAATTGGGTTGATTGTTTGATGTTTAATCATAATAATTATATTATTGTGGGTTGAAAACCCTATATACTCACCAGGTTTCCCAACCTGACCCACTCAAGCTTATTTGTAATCACAGGTGTCGATACGAAACTACTTTACACTGAGAGATTTAAAAAAGATGTAGATCACTAGTGTAAATAAATGTAAGTTCTGTTTATGCTTATGTTTCTGTATTGACGATGACATCCCAAATGTTTTAAAATGAATAAAATACATTTATTAGGAAATGCTTTGATAACGTATTTATCATGTTTTTCTGGGAACAAATTCCGCAACACTTTTATTAAAAGAGGTACTCTGATTTTTATAAAGCATAAACAAAATCGGTCTTTTCTGGCCGTGAAAATGGGGATGTCACAGTTGGTATCAGAGCATTAGTTTAAGCGAACTAGGAATAAAGATTTATTTCTAGACTTAAACTTAGGATGCTAAGAAATGATTGTGAGGAGTGTGTCTAATATATTTTAGGTAGTACACCTGAATAGACACAAGCACTAGCTTAATTAGGGAAGATGCCGAAAATGCTTTTATGTGCTAAATGATTTGTTGCTTTATGCTATCGTTTGATCAGATCTATGGTCTGTTGCCGACCGGATCTGGAAATTTTATGTGTTCAGATTTCTAAACGTTTAATTACGATATTAGAACTAGCATGTAACTTTTCGGAGTAATAAGGAAGATTACACGTCTAAATCTTCTCTATCTATATTCTCGTCTCGATGCACTGCACACATGCTTCAGTGAACATAACACCATGGTGAAGACTCGTAGAGAATTGAGTAAATGGAGGAAATAAAAAGGCTTATGATAATGAATGACATCTATCGGAAGATACCTTAAGAGTGGTATCTTGCCTTTAGAATATGTCCGATAAAATAACAGTACATTCAGAGGAGTACTGTACGTCTGAAGTACACCTTCGATTGGTGGGATGATGGAACGATTGGTGTAATTTCTGAAGTTGTCCCATTGTGTGGCGTTTCCACCACCAACCGAGTTGAAACAGAATTGATGATTGAAGATACGCATGGAAGAAGTCCTAATAGAGTCTAAGGAAAATTTTATGATTGTTTGGACACATTTGTATGTGTTAATTAAAATTGTTTTTGTGATAGTAACTTGGAAAACTGCAAGACAATATTTGGGACGAGTATGAGTAGGTGTGAATGGTAGTAGAGGTCTATACTACCGGAAGCACAAGACTCACGCTTGGATCAGGGAAAGTCACAAGGTTACCAACGCACTAGTAATTGATTCTGTTTTGTTCATGTCTGTCGTTACCATCGTTTTGGTAATGACTAAGAAGATGATTGTTAATCCGACCCTAGTGGTCATATCAAATCGAGTCCGAATAAGATGAATATGTTACGTGGTTCAAAGTACCAAGATCGATGTAGCATCTGACTTAAGTCAGAAGATTGAAGTGAAATATAATCGAAGCGATCAATAGAAGTATCGTAACCGTTGTTAAGGTAAGGAGCTTGTAGCTAGATGTGCTACATGCTAGAATGTGATTATATCACATTAGAACATGAAGCAAGGTATATTCTATTCTGGAATTTGACTCTAAAAGACATGAGTCTAAGCGTTGCATCATACGACGAGATCTCATTAGAACATGTTCCATCGGTCTGATACGGTAATCGAAGTAAAGAACTTATCTTAGTTTAAGTCTGTTTAAGAAAGGGCAAGAGTTTCCAATAAGGACTGAGTTTGTAACTCGAAGGTTAATATTAAAAGTCCAACATATGATAAAGAGTGGGTGCAAGATTGCGCACCGCCAATAGTCAAGAAGTCCTAGAGTTAGATACTCATTTGAAAGGACATAAGAGTTATGATTACCACCTAGGATGGAAAGGAAATGAACGGAGTCATTATACAAGCCCTATTTTTTTGATGATTCTGGGACGTAATCATCCTAAGGGGATATAATTGTAACACCCGCAGATTCGGGCTAGTCAATTAAGATAATAAGCGTTAAAAATGATTTTTTTATATAGAAGATTATCTAGGATAAATAATCTTAACCAAAGTAATAGTTCGGGTTAACAATTGTAACCTATTCGACGTAATAAAGAATAATTACTTGAATATTATATGTTTCATGATTATTATAATATAATAAAATAGGAAAAATCAGTCGAATCGTCCGTAAATCGTAAAAATAAGTGCGCCAAAACATATATATATATATATATATATATATATATATATATATATATATATATATACATTTAGGAAGTATACGTCGTCCCGATCCCGAAAATATAAATTTCGTCGAAATCCGAATCCGTATGAATTAGATATGATTTTTATAAGATATAAAAGTCAGCCGCGCACAACGAATGTATGACGTAAAAAGCTACGAAGAGAATGATTGACTTTTAGCTAATGCGACCAAAATGAAAATCGTAGTACTCCTTAAAATAGGAATTTTGAGAAAAAGAATGCCAAAAACGGAGTCAGTACGAGAGAGTTATGATTTTAGCAAAATCATTTAATTTTATAAAAAAATTGACAAAAATATAAATTCAAAATTAGCCGACGGAGTCCAAACGACAGTTGTATTTCTCGTCGATAGCTACGCATGGATATAAAGAACGTCGAAAACGGATTTCGTATGAACAATTTATAATTTTTAATAGCACATTTACGTATTAAAATAAAGTGTAAATCATATATACGTATACATATGTATATATCGTTAGAAAGGTATCGACGATGCGGTCGTTACAAAACTAGTGTTGAGTACTTTCGACATTCGTTTAGTACAAATATCATTAAATCTATTTAAAATAGTATTATAAACGGGTGTTTAGTCATTTATATAACTATAAGGTCATTAAGTAACTATGGAAGGTAGTTTTTGAAAATTCAATCACTATAAATAAGAGCCTCTAGCTCTCATATTTCTTGCACCATTCTCTTGATTCAAGAGTCTTTCTCTTCTTATCCCCCGAGCATTTCGGTCCCTCGTGATTCAACTTCTCTTTCTGTAGTTTTAGTATAGTAAGGTGAGCGCTGAAGCGTTGCACGAATCTTTCCTAGAAAATTAGTATTGTTATTATGAACTTATAATAACAATGGTGGTTAGAAAATATTGCTTATATTTAAAATTAGTATTGTTATTATGAACTTATAATAAATATTTGGGCTAAAACCCCCTTGTAAGTAAGGTATGCTTATCCTATTGTAATATAGCTTATATTTAAAATTAGTATTGTTATTATGAACTTATAATAAATATTTGGGTTATTATTATGACTTATATAAGTATCGTTATAATATCTTTTTAACTACTCGCGGTACGGAGAATCTGGTTTAAAGGGCCGAATAGGGTTGTTGGATTTCAGAAGTGCTATATGCCAAAATGGTCCTGCCCTCCGATGTTTTATGTCTGGCCCCTGTCTGTACATAGTGGTTAGAAAATATTGTTTAAACGCTTATATAATAATAATAATAATAATAATAATAATAATAATATTTAGTGCCTATTCCTTAGGATAATTCTGAGGAATGAATGAACGAGGAATAGCTGATTCTTAGGGTAGATCTTTAAGAGTAAGGAAGATAATGGGGATGGGTAATTGGGTTGATTGTTTGATGTTTAAACATAATAGTTATATTATTGTGGGTTGAAAACCCTGTGTACTCACCAGGTTTCCCAACCTGACCCACTCAAGCTTATTTGTAATCACAGGTGCCGATACGAAACTACTTTACACTGAGAGATTTAAAAGAGATGTAGATCACTAGTGTAAATAAATGTAAGTTCTGTTTATGCTTATGTTTCTGTATTGACGATGACATCCAAAATGTTTTAAAATGAATAAAATACATTTATTAGGAAATGCTTTGATAACGTATTTATCATGTTTTTCTGGGAACAAATTCCGCAACACTTTTATTAAAAGAGGTACTCTGATTTTTATAAAGCATAAACAAAATCGGTTTTTTCTGCCGTGAAAATGGGAATGTCACAGAAAACAAAAGCACCAGGTAACAAAATAATATTATAAGTTCTTAACCAATTTTTTTTGGTAATTTCTATTCTGATTTTCATAGTTTGTTTTTAAGTTTTTATTATCAGCTGATTGGTGGGCATCATATAGATATTCGATGCCTAATCTTAAAAAGTTTGCCATACTGGTCCTTAGTCTAACTTGTAGTGCTACAAGTTGTCAAAGAAACTGGAGTGTTTTTCAACACGTAAGTTTTTTTGTATCTATTTAAAAAAAATTTGTTTTCCTATATGATAATATGTTTTTTTTTTCTCATTTTAGTTATTTCATGATTTTACTTACTTTAATTACTTTCATTCTTGTAGCTTCTTACGAAGAAACGAAATAGATTGGCACGGTCTAGATTAAATGACATGGTGTTTGTCAAATTCAATCGTGCCTTAGACCGTCGAGTTAAAGATAAGGAGAAGGATCCTATTCTTTTACAAGAGATTGATGAAAGTAACGAGTGGTTGATGGGAAGACTTAAAGAGGAGAATGATGATGATATAGTATTTGTTGGTGAAGATCTTACTTGGAGAGATGTGGCTCAGGTGCTTATGAGCCTAGTTATCTAACTAGATCAAGAGTGCAAAATGATGGAGCCGGGCCATCGGGTATTGATAAGGGAAAAGCTCCAGAATCTAGTCAACGATCTGGATTTCGTTTGATGGATGAAGAGGTGGAAGAGGATATCAGAAGTGATTGTGGAGGAGATGATGTTGTCCAAGTTGACGTTGATGATGACCGTTTCGCGTATTTTTAGTTTTTATGATTAAGGATTAAGAATTTAGGACTTAAGTTCTGCCTTTTTTTTATCACCATGCCTGATTCTACTTTTAACTTTTGAAATTTTGACGTTTGAAATTGATGCCTTATGCAAAATGCAGGATATGGTTTTTTTAAGTATTTATATATAATTTCTATATTTTAATTTTTTTTAATAATGGGCGCTTTATGTGCTCTAAGCGGGCGCTTTTGCATAGCGCTTAACGCTTTTACTCCTAAAGCCCAAAGCGCTTTGAGGCGCTTTACGCTATTTAAAATCAAGAATGTTGCTGCATGAGAAAGAGTTTCAAGAGAGAAAGTGTATATGAAACATAGTTTGATGACCTTTAACATCCCTGATGTTCGAACATTATATTTGTTTATTCAAATGACATTATGTTCAAACATTATATATGTTTATTCAAATGACAGTGTCAATCATAATGATGACACCATCACAATTTCTATGGTTAAAAATACAGGTGACAAACTTAATGCGGTTAATACAATTAAAGGGGTGACACCAAATTCAAAAGCGTTGCAATTAAGATACGAGGTTGGTAAAATACCATTTATAAATTGTTATTCTAGCATTAGCTTCCATCTGCAAACTGCAATACCGCAAAAATTATCTTTTATTATTATTCTTTTGTAATGCAAAATCTTTTCTAACATATTTCTTTTTTATTTTCTAATGATTCAAGTAAAGAGGTTGAGATCTGTTTCAAGTAAAGAGATTGACATATTTCAAATAATGAGATTGACATATTTCATCAGTTTTAGATATTCTTACCTTTGGAGCCTACATGATACCTGCTGTGGAACTCTTTCTCTTTTACAACTCTTTTATTATGTATTTCATGAAATAAATAATTTTCTTTTATTATGGGTTTTCTACACTGCACCCCACTTTATATTGAACTTTTTTTTTTGTTTACTGTTCAATATTTTAGTTTGAATATCAATTTTCGTACGACTGGCTGACAGATCAGTGGGGAACGGATGAATCAACGGTGATTTGAAGTAATAATTTAAAATTTTTTTGGACATTTTTAAGTTGTTAAAAATAGTATTTTTTTTTTATATATTTTTGGGGTTATTCATGAAAGACGAAGCACTAATGAGAAGCCTTAAAAGCAAGGTTTTAGGTCCAATTTCAAACGATACCCCGGTTTTAGGCCAATGGATGATTAATCAACAAACATGCGGATCAAGGTGTTCTCTATTTTCTTTGGTATGAAAAACAAATGTTAAATAATGAAATTTGTTGTGTGTTGTTGATGTTCTCAAATCATCTTCTTAAGCATTGTTATGTATTTCAGATTACACTTTTGGGTTTCAGTTTCTTATTGGAATTTACTCCATGTGCATCATTGTTTCATCTGCCTTTCTCTTTCTGCTGCAAAAATAGGAACACGCACACAAATTCAATCCGCACACACGTATAAACAGTTCTTTATTTGCCTTTCGGTAGAGGCTACCCGCAAAGCCGGGTTCTTCCGTAGTTCATAGGAAAAAAAAACATCAAATGCTGTCCATTCCTCTATATTTGATCTACTTTTTTTTTGGTTATTTGATATACTTAACGTGTGTTTTATATATTGAAAATTTGATGAACCATATCCATTAAGAAAATATTTCTGTGGAATATAATAAATTTTAGAGTAAGTTACTGAAATCGTCCCTATGGTTTGGTCAAAATTATACGTTTGGTCCCTAACTTTTTTTTTTTGCACTAGGATCGCCCTTGTGGTATGATTTTATTGCGTTTTTTGGGCCAAAATTGCATGTTTGGTCCCTATCTTTATGTATGTAAGGGACGAAAAATGCAACAAAATCAAACCATAGGGACGACCCGAGTGCAAAAGCAAAAAAATAAAAATAAAAACTTTAAGAACCAAATGTGCAATTTTGACCAAACCATATGAACGATTTCAGGAATTTAAAAAAAAAAAAAAATGAATCGAAAGAATCTTCGGTTTACATGAAAAAACAAACCAAATAACCCGTAACTACATACTCCAAAGTATACAAAACCAGATTTATATATTTTGTTTATAATTAGTTTTATAGATATTAAAAACCGGGATAAATTGAAACATTTATAAGAAAATAGATTAAAGTCTTAAATTGAAAATTGATTAACTCGACGGAATTATACCCTGAAACTTTAAAGTACGAAGATTGTAGACCTTTGCATGTAAAGTTTTATATATAAAAGGAAAATTAAGTAATCTAACAATTTTTAAGTGCTTTTTAAGAAAATAGCAAAAAAAAAATACCCCTTCTCTTGAATGTCCATTCTAAGTAAACATTAATTTTTTTGTTGTATTGATAAAAACCTAATGTTGAAATAGAAAAAACAAACAAACAAACAAACATTAAACCACCAATGACACCCATAAAATTAAGAAGAAAATCAGAAATTCAGATTATGTTTACAATGACTTTGATGAAAGTTTATACTCGTTTGATGTTTTAAATGGTCTTAAACCATTAGGTTTGTCAATTCATAAGTAGGTTTGTCAATTCATAAGTTAGTATTATAAGTCGATGTTCCAGTTATGTTACTAAGGAATATTGATCATAAATGTGGTTTGTGTAATAGATCGAGGCTAAGGATTATAGTATGGGATAATCGGGTTATAGAAGTAGATATAGTTTAAGGAAATAATATAGGAAACCGTACGTTTATTCAAAGAATGTTTTTGACGCTTTCGAATAAAATGATTTCTTTCACATTTAAAAGAACACAATTTCCACTAGCTATATATTTTTCGATGACAATAAACAAGAGTCAATGATAATATTTATCGAATTTATGATTATTTTTTAGACAACTAGTGTTCACTCATACTCAATTGTATGTTGTATTGTCTATAATAAAAAGTAATGATGGATTAAAAAATATTGATTTTACACAACGACAGTAATTAACTTATTAAAAAGGCATCTAATGTTGTATTCAAATAAATCTTTGAAAATTTATGATTCAGTATAAGTATTGAAAATATTTCGGTAGTTTTTTTATTAGTGTATAATATATGAATTAGTTAATTATTCATCATTTCATTTATATTTATTTTAAAATTTTACTTTAAAAAAATATTTATATTTATTTCAAAATTTTACTTTAAAAAAATATTTAAGAGTAGGTTATCTTTCTATTTAACTTATTTTTTTAATACTGCAGTATACGCAGAATATAAAAATAAAAGGAACGCGTTTTCCTTGATTGCAATTAAAGGTTTTGCAAGTTAAGTTCAAAAATTCATGACTTCCGGAGCTAGCTCTAATAACCTAAGCAAAGAACTTGGTACAAACTTTCTAGCAAACAAAAAGCAAACTCTTGTTCGCTCTCCATTATACATACACTCGGTTCCATTCTGCATTTGTCTCAACAAAGAAAGTGTCACCTCCCATTTTCCAAACTTGTAGGGATGAGGTCCACCTTTTGACCAGTCAACATAAGTTAACGTCCGATCTGAATTATCTTCCTTGAACTCTATATATAAGAATGTGGGGATGTAATGCTCATCTGAATAACAAGCAGGTTTGCAATAGTCTCGAAACAAAGGGTAATATTTCCTATCACAGATAATCTCTAGGGCTAGGTGGCGGTCAACTTCAAACCACTGGGAGCCTTTTCGCCATTGATCTACTGTAACTGCTGGTTCCATGTTGTGGTCATATCGTCCACGCCCCACTGGGCCCTCTTTATCATAGCACTCCACAAATGTCTGTTTGGAGTTGATTAGATATGGGTAGATGGTTGAGAAGTTGTAAAGAGGAATGCAAGCCTCAGAAAGAAGCACAAATCTTTCGTTATTGAAATCAAGTAATGCACTGGCTAATAGGCGACGCTCGGCTTCCACCATACTTATTTCTCCCCACGTAACCACCTACACCATGCATTGTACATTATATCTTATTGTTTATAAATTCTAATTTTGATTCATTTGTATCCTTCTAGCAAATTTTTGTTCATTTGTATCCATCATGCATTAGTATTTTGAAAACTTGGACATTTTGTTTATGACTACTTTTCACTTTGATTCAAACGCACCATGAACAGTATTTGTTAAAAGAGAGAAAGAAACTCTAGAGTAGGTGTCCACTGAAAAGGGATTTGAAAAACAAGAATCTTTATTTTTCATGAAAAATAGAACTACAATGTTATAGAAATAAACTCTTAGGGTGGATCTAAAAAAGTTTTGAAGCATGCGGATCAGTGGACACGTGACGCACGTCATGAGGCATATGAATTGGGGCTCCATAAAAGTACACCGTGAGCCAAATTTGAGTATAGTCACATACCCAATGGTGAATCTAGTTATAAGGCTGATTGTAATTGAGATATACATATTCTATCACTATGCTACAAAAAGCCATGTTGCTCTTAATTTTTTGGACAATTATAATCTAAAATGAAACGTATTACATGTTCTCTGTACCAGGGGTGTATTACATATTTTATGTATGTGAATTACATTATTGAATTTTAGTGGTGATGTAATTGATGTAAAAATTATGAAGTAAAAGATAAAAACACAAAAGCGATTTGACACATAATTAACATACCTCACTTGGAATTCTTCGTCCTTGAAACATTGGTTCAGGAGCCACTTCACCAACAAAATATGGTTGTGTATGAACATAAATGGAGTAAAAACCCTTATAACCACGAAAGAACCTAGCCCAAAGGGGAGATAATGGCAACCTTCCTCTTACTAAATACATGAATGCAACCTTTGGCGTCTTCTTGAATGGAGTCTTGCGTATTCTAGGAACCATCGATGCTCTCCAAAACAACTCATCATCTTTCATTCTGTGTAAAAACGCACTTGTGGCGGATGGCTTTGGTGTTTCTGTTGGCTCTTTTGGCTCTTTAATCGTTCTGGTCGTGGTGTTGGTGACGATGATATTGGTAGGAGGAGTGGTGCTTTCCGTTCTGTTTTGCATTTGGGGATTTAAAGGGAAAAGCCCTGAACGTTGATTATCGATTATGGTGGATGGAACTTGGAATGAGAAAACTTGCTTAGATTTTGAGTTTAAGGGTATACTATAAAGGCAAAAGATTAGTGTGGCCCCAAGCCCTATACCACATACAAGTATAAGAAAATAATGGGCTAATGTTTTAAGATGCATTTGTCGAATTTCCTTCTTCATCTAGACACAATACCCACGAAACTTCAAGGAAGATGAGAAACTTGTTCCAAGAGACTGGATCCTTACAAAACTTGAAAGATTTGTTTTTCTTTCCACGTGAACTCAACTAATTTCGAATGTTATTTACAGAAACGAGTTTCTATCTTAATTTGATGCTATGAACGTATAAAATGATCCGTTTAGGGATATAATTCTCACTTGGTGAATGTATTACACTTATCAAGGGTATAACTATGGGACACTGGAAAACAACTGTATCTTTCCTGGGTAAGTCGCCTCATGAAATGTGAAAGGAGATCAAGAATAAGACACAACATCGTAATCGTCTTTGGGGATAAACTGGAAACAAAAGACAACTGTAAAGAGAGACCTAATTTCCCAACCCGATGAGCTATCCAGAGACATGCGAAAGTTAATCGAAAGGGAGTTTCTTTGTTGTGTGAATAAAGCAAGACAATGACGAAATGTTGTAAAATCCACCCAGAGGAATACACCCACAAAGTGATGATGGAGGAAACGAGGAAAGAGATCGATCGGCCAGAGAGAGAGGAGAGTTGTGCCATGTGGTACTTACTAGTCCAAAAGTCGGTATTAAATCCAAAATTTCAGGGTGGCCAACAAGTTGTCACATTCGTTGGTAGGGCTTTCACTTTTTTTGGGTCTAGATGTTGACTTCTCAAAAGACGAGGAAACTCCCAAGTAACAAAAACAAGTGTTAATAACTTATTGTCAAATTTCTTCCTTTTTTGATTTGCAACGGATGGAATATCTTTTGTAACTAATTACATTTTAAGAAAAACATTGATAATATTAATAAAAAAATATAAATATGAATTCAAATGTATTTGGGAAATATACATGAGAAGAAAATAAGATAAAGTGAAAATAAGGACCTAAGTCAATTAATGAATTTATATAAATTAACAAAAAAATTGAAATTAGAATGTAAGTCAATTAATGAATTTGATATCCATTTATTACAATATTTATATTAATTATTATATTAAAATATTATGTGCAATTTAATAAAATAGAAAATTTTAATAAAATGATATGTGGAAAAAAAATTAATTCAAAATTACTACACAATGACATTTGACAAAATAAATGAGAATGTGACATGTAACAAAAAAATATTTATTTATTAGAGTAGATTATTAGAGCAACGCATACACGACGCTCGTGAACGTGTTGGGGAGATTGTTATTTGGTTATTTTCTAATACTTATATTTTCAAATTTTACATGCCGAAGGCCGAAAAACTTTTAGTTTCAATTGTCCTTCGGTCTCTTTGATGGATTTTTAAGATTGATTGGACTAAGTGCCTTAAGTTGGCATCTTTTGCTTTATAATTGTAACGTTAGAGGTAGTGATGTCATTTTTGTCATACTTTTTTTTTCTGATATAGTCATATTTGTCACACCTCTTCAAGAACTTGCTATTTAGGCGTGTTTGGTAAAAGTAGCTGTTAGCTGGAAGCGGGAAGCGGGTAGCTGGTAGTGGGTAGCGGGTAGCTGGTAGCGGGAAGCTGTAGCTTATATTTGTTATATGACTGTTTAATAAAAGTAGCTGGAAGCTTTTAAAATATATAAAATTACATAAAAGGACAATTGATTAAAAATAAATAAATATTTAAATATATTTTTAAGGGTAATTATGGAAATCGATTTCAAAAGCTCAGTAGCGTTTTGTTAAACGCTACATAAAGTAGCTTTTAGAATTGGAGCGTTTTGTTTAAACTAAAAGCTAAACGCTCGTACTGCCAAACGAAACTTTTTGTTTAAACTGGAGCGTTTTGTCAAAAGCTAAAAGATAAAAGCTCTCAAACACTTCCAAAAGCTCCGTGCCAAACACGCCCTTAGACGGGGTGATTTGTCACTTTTTCCTGCAACTGGGGCGGATATTGGCGGAGACTGCAATACCCGTCCCCTTACCCGAATCCGATCACCACACCCATCCCTGCCCCTACCCCACTTAATCCCCGACGGATTTGAGTAAAAAAAAATCTCCATCAGGTACGGTAAACCTAATGAATACAAAAAAAAATATAAAAAAAATTATACAAATCAAAGAAAAAGTCAATCATCTTTTATTCTTACACAACCAATATCGATTTAGAACCGTTAAGAGGTATGTTATACACACAACCACAACTGTTGGAAGCATGTTTAAAAATTAATCCAAAACTTTTGTTTGCCATTTGGAGTGTGTAACAGTATAACATATATCTTTTTTCATTAAAGGTTGTATGCAATTATACAATTATAATGTTTTTTTTCTATAAAGTATTGCTATATCACTAAACAAACAATTCACTTGAGTACATATAAATCTCGATCAAACTAAAAAACATTCCAAAAACACCAAACATTACTAATTCTTCAAGTCATAGTAATTTTGAGTCTTGATGAATGATGATGGTCGTCCTTCGATGCAGTGAATATTGATGCTTAAAGAGGTCGATGAATCAAATAGATGATTGGAAAATGGATGCCAATATGTGATTGCTTGAATCTTGGTGGTCGAACACGTGCCACTAAAAGTCAAGTCTGAAAGAGAAGAAGACGATCCAGAGCTCGATACTTTGATATCTACAAAGAGTCGATTTTATAAAACATAAAATCGATTATTGCAAAATCAAGTTTGTTCATATTGCAAAAAATCGATTTCACAACAACATTAAGTTGATAATGGAAAAAACGAGTTCATACAGATTGAAGCATACAGATTACACGAATTTGGCAATTGATAAGTTATAACCAAATGAGTTTGTAGGTTGACGGAAAATATTTCGTAAGTCTTTAACGGGGAAGATAGTATCATACTCGTCCCCGACCCATCCCCCCTTCGGGAACAAAATATAAACTCTATCCCTGATCCATTATCCGTTAAGGCGGGGAATACCCTGTCCGATCGGGTCGGTTATTCGCGGTTATCCAAATTCGCGGGTAAAACTTGCATCCCTACTTTTGCCACAAGATTTTTTATATTTAAAACTAAAATTAATTTATATCAAACCAAATTAATTTGTTTAAATAAAACTAAATTTGTTACAATCAGTATTTTCTCATAAAGAGCCTCGATGCCTTCTCATTCATTTAAATACATAATACATGAGTAATAGGATGAATACAAAGTATGGGCTATCTATACAAAATAATGGGCTATATCAAAACGAATACAATAGTACATAATGTTACACTAACATCCCCCCGCAGTCGGAACGGGAAATCGTGAACGAATGTTCAGCTAGATCTGAAGTCAAGAAACAAAGGTGAAGGTAGCTGTCACACCCGAAACCGGAACGGCGGAAATGTTCGGGGGCGGATGACGTCATGTACAGTATCACAACAAATGTATAATAGTAATCAAAGTAACAACAACCATTGTATTGATAACATAGTACTTACATTGTATTCAAAACATTTCTTATTTAACATTAAAACTATAGCAAAAGATAAGACGTGGTGCTACTATGCTCCGTCTTCGTAACGTCTGAGAGGGTACCTGTCTACTAATTTTCCTGAGAATACAAGTGGTTTGAAAAAGTATCAACATTAAAGTCGGTGAGTTCATAAGCATTTTTGCTATAGAAAGTATATTCTTTGTTTTTTTGAAAATGTTTGTGTGTTCCTCCAGAAAATCCTATATTTTCTTAATAAGAAATGTGACCATACTAGTTCCTTCTATGATCACTTAGTTTATACTAGCTATATATAAACTAATATTGAACGGACAGTTGAATGTGTGGATCTACCCTAAGCCTACAACCAAACAAGGAACAGGAAGTAAGGCGAAAATCACACATTCCACTGCCTATCGGATATTATTTATATATAACTCTGATGTATAAGCTAAGGAACCATAGTATTAACAATTAAGGGTCCTTTATGTTATACTAGTTTGTAAATAAGTGTTGAACCTTTTGTAAATATATTCCTAGTTCCACCCGCTCTACTGTAAAGTATTGTTTTCGGTAAGTAATCGTATTTGTTTCCAAAAAGTTGGATTGTAAACTGTTTGCTTGTAAAATAATGATGTTTATCCTGGAAAATCCTATATTTTTCATAAAATCGAATTGTAGTCTTAAACGTTCCAAGACCGAAAAGTACAAGTATAATTTCCTTACTTAATTTAATGATACATAGTTTTATTCATAAGTAAAACTAGTTGAAGATGTGTTTGCCCTGTAAACTAGATGTGATGTTAATACCCTCCTATGATCACTTAGTACATACGAGTTCTATATAATCGAGATCGAAAAGACAGTTGAATGGGTGATTCTGCCCTGAGCTCACAACCAAACAAGGAACAGGAAATAAGGCGGAAATCACACATTCCACTATCTACCGGTCATTAATTTTATATAACCCTGATGTATATGCTAAGTAATCACAGAGTTAATACCCCTTAAGATTGTTTAAAAAGTATATTACTACTTAAATGTGTCGTTGTTTTCTCCATGTGAGTTCTTATAACCATATTGTAACCTAAGATAGCCTGATCGCGACGTTCTTCAGGCGTCAGAATGTTAACGACATTTGTCACCCCAGGCCTGCCGGCCTAACTGTAGCTAACAGTTAAGGTGTGGGATTGTCAGTCATGTATATATCTATACACAAATATCTCGCTCTCCCTACAAGAGACTCTGGTTATAAGTCAGGACTTGGTTCGTACTTAGATAAGTGCGTGAAGACGTCTCACAAATTTGCTTCAACGTGTTTACGAGTAATATCTGAAAACCCTTTTTGTACGTTTGTTTTGTTTCCGTATTGTAATCTAAACTTTGTAAA